ATGAAATGGTGCCCAGGTGACGTGACTTGTAGCGCACTTGCCCATTAAGCAAGAGGTGCGGGTTCGAGTCCCGTATGGGGCGAAAGTTTCTTTTTCAAGGTGAACTGCGGCCAAGAACAACAGTTAACAAACCAAAACAAGTCAGAATCAGCGATTTGCTTTACCCCCACTCCCATTAGATGGATTTATTTTTCATGTTTTGCTTCGCCCGTTAGGGTATAGCATTGCATCGCTATCTTGTTGGGAGAGCGCAGACGGCAAGAAGCGCGCGGCCGGCTGCTACAGTAACGCCCACAACTATACTCACCTCGGGCTTTATAGCGTGTAGACCCATATCGAAAGTGCCACCTCCAAGTCCAATTTCTAAAACTTGTTTGCCAGTGTTGGTGGAATTCAGCGACAGCGTTGACATCAGGAACGGCGCAGCCTACCATACGAGCTATCTAAGTCACAGAGTTTTTAGATTTTCGAGACCTTACAGACGGCAACTTCCATCTGCTTCATGAATTACTATTTATTTCATGATCTTAGTTCGATGTCCCATGTAGGAGAATGCTATCTGCCGCTGCGGCTTATTATTTGACCTGAATGCAAGATCTGGGACGCTAATTGAAGGCACAGGTCGGGATTAGGCCATTGGAGGAGCCCGCTCTGTCGATACTATGACTGGGTCTGCAACCATAGAGGTGATGCCGCGCTCGTGACTCGAAACCGCGCGGCTATAACAACCCTGGCCTAGCATTTAGGACGACGTGAGCTATGACCGCCCACCGCCGGAAGTGGTGCGTGGCTGGCATAACGCGTGAAATCAGCTGAGTTGATTGCCGTATCATCTACTCTCACGGAGCCAGCAATGGTTGGCATGTCCGCAAACTCGTTCGGGAATGCATTCCTCCTAGGACAGCATCCCTCGCCGCTGTTGGAGAGGTTTTATTTCGGTCTTGTCGAAGGTTTCTTCACGATATTTCTCGGTATAGGAAAGAAGGAAAATCCATGATCAGAACTCGAGACATGGAATTCCTTCCTTGCTCGTCGATTTGTTGGTGCAACTCTCATCGCTGTACCCTCTTCAACACTACGCTTCTCTTTGCTATCTAATCACTCGCCGCGTATAGACCTTGAGCGAGTGATTAGATAGTCGGTGGGCGGACCCCACTGACCGCGCGAGAATGAGCCCTGCCATTTAGTTCGTCAATGAGGTCAGAATCGTCCAGATAGATATTCCATACGGTGCTGGAGGGGTGCGTGACTATTCATCGTGGCGCGTGGCTAGGTCGCCGCGCCAGCCGCCGCAGCCTGCGATGCGACGTCGGCCGTAGCTAGAATTCATGGTTCTAACATGGGGGAATGTACTATTAGATGAAGTTTCCAGTCAATGAAACATGGGATATAATAATCACCTGCTCTTGAAGTTTCAGGGTTCCTTGACCTGCCTATTATACAAGTTATTTATCCGGCCATACTAATACCTTTACTGCTCTCCTCACGGATCCACTGCGTCTTGGAGCGTAATATTTTTCTGATTTAGCCAAATTATCGCTCTCTGATAACAATCCAGGCAGTTGATTAATGGAGAAGTCTCTTTATGTTCAAAAGGACAACCTTTACATGGCACAAGCTCTGTACAGTGAGGCTTAAATAACTGTGGAGATCTTCAGGTGGCTCTTGTTGGCTCACTTATGTCTGGAACATTAGTTTTATCAGTTCCCTAACCCCACCAGCAACTTATGGACAAAGATCGTTAAGGCAAGGCCCATACAAGGCATCAGCTGCGACGCTTGCCCGGCCGCGGTGGGGGCGGTGACCTCATTAGCCAACGATTGATCTGGCCGTCTCCTGCGCGTCATCCAACATCAGGAGATGCCGGCGCCTTCTTACTGGGTGGATTACTCCTTCTTCTTCCATAAATTTTGACTCGATAGAGCAGAGTTGAAATATTGTTGAAAGAAGCTTCGGTTTGTGGAAACAAGATTTGCAGCATCGGAGGCAGCACGGATAGCATTTGGATGATCTTATATGGGGATCCTTGTTATTGGCCACTACAGCTGAGAAAAATAAGGTCATCAGTGCTATAGTAATACGTATGGTTCACCGCCTTGATTGACAGTCATTCTGCAAGGCCAGTCGTCGACCTAGTGTGACGAAACTGATCTGAGAGTAAGTGCGAAAGTGACGCTCAAACTACTGGCAAGCTACATTTGGACTACAATATCATTTAACTAATCTTGACCAGGCTTTCATTCAAGCTTGGAACGTGGTTTCAATACAACAAAAAGTGGGTCGATTTTCTAGAAGAAGGCAGACATTTTGAAGGAAAGAAGGGGAGGGGAAAAGCTAGTTAAAATCAGGAGGAAGAACGCACTAGTGCCAAAATGTTGAAATGTTCCTTATGCAGATTGTTTAGAGAGCAATTTTTGCTTCGATTTAGATCGATTCGACACCATTCTCCTTTTTCTGGGTAAGCAGGTGGATAAAAGGAGATCTGGAGGATCCCATTAACTGGCACCGCCAGATTCGGTTCGTGAAAATGAAATGTGGTTTTCACAAAAGCCTAATTGTATTACCTTTTGAGAGCATAGATTAAGTGGCAGTTGATAAAATTAATTACTGAGAAGAATGCAACAATAAATGATTCCAAAATTAGTACTTCACTGAATAATTCAACTTATCACAGTGCATACAAAAATGGTACAGACGCTATCATGTGAAAGCTAGTAATAAGGTTGATTATCTAATCAAAAAAAAGAAGAAAAGAGAAAAAAATGAGAAATGCACACGCTTACGTAAGATGCCACAAAAGTGCGGATGATCGATCTTCCAAGTTTTTAGGTCTACACAATAAGTTTTGCCGTACACGATGTTCTCACCTAAATGGGAATCGAACGCAGTACTTCGAAGCACTTCAACAATTAAAATTATAAAGGAAAAAAGGAGCAAAAGGATGACTGCATTCATTGCATTGCATTTTTACCATCAGGATGAAGAAGACTGATCAGTGATTCTCCAAGCACATTGGGACGACTGTCAAAAATCGTGTACAGTACCATGAGCCAACGACCTTCACCGCTGAAAAAACTTGTGAAAATTTCAGAGAATTGCCGCGTATAAAATTTTTGGCCTCCAATTCTTTGGAGATCGGCTACGATTTCAAAAACCATTGTTTGAGTTGAGCAAGCTAGTTTTTTTTTGGTAACCCCCGTTCATTTGAAGTACACTCAGCCCATCGCAGGTTGCTCCAAAGGTACCCGACAAGAAGCCCGTCGCGCGGCGAGAAGGCCAAGACGCAGGCGGTTCACCGAACGAGTCGCATCGCGTACTCGTGCGATAGGGTCAACTTAAATAGAATGTACTATAGTGGGTCTCACATCGCACAAAACGCGCTGCTGCTCGTCCGCTATCCGTTTGCGTCTCAGCCTTAAGGTCGAGCGACGGGCCTCCTGCCGGATAACCGGTCTCTCCGACTCGGCTTGGTAGCCCACTGTACACCTTTACCCATTTTTCCGCTCTCCTGGCTGTTATGGAATCAAATTTTCGAATTTTGTTGTCTGCACACCATTTAAATATATTTATCTCGCCTAGCTTGTGCATGCATCTGCACAATGCCCCTCCTGGCAATACATTCATGCACACATAGACAAGCGGACAGACAGAACGAAAGACTAACAGATAGGCAGAATAAGCGCTTCATACATATGCCATAGAGACTCCTTTAAGCCACGAGATCATTGTGGTACTGAAATTTCATCGTCGCCTTTTTTCTTCAGTCATTTTGTCTGAAGGATTTAAATATGCAACAGTGACAGGGAAAGAGTCGACTAATGTAAAAACATTAACAACCCACTAGTCCAACTTCCTGATGTAAATTGTGTAGCAGTCTGTGGCATTCTCATGGCACATCCTGTCAACTTGAACTGGTCTGAAATTGTCATCCATACAAATCATAAAATCAACAATATGAAATAGTAACAGTAAAAAAGCCTTCTCAGTGTGAAGACACAGATTATATGTTGCTCACGTATTCGTCAGTGTGCCAAATGAGCCCGGAATTTCACAGGTTATACAGGGGGGGGGGGGGGCAATAAAAAAAGACATTTTGTCTCCAGACTCAAATGGATTTAATCACACTTTGCTCAGCTCAAAGCGTGTGCTCCCAACTTAGAATTGAAGAGCGCATTTCATTTCATAAGAAAATCTTCATAGTGGCCATCTACGTGGACGGCATCAGAAAATTTGCCCCGGAAACATGGTGCTCTGGTCGAGCTCAATGGGGTTCTCGACTGATCGTGTACCGTTACGACGGGTTCCGAAGGGCGGGTTCCGAGGGGGTTTGCATAGTTAGAGCTAATGTCCCTAGGAAACTATCCCACGTTGAATCGATCCAAGAAATTATGTAAGAGCTTCAGGCTGAAGCAGTTACTGTAGGCCTCCCTGAGCTCGACGACGGTGACAGATGACATATTCTGAAGACGGTGAGGGTAGTGAAGGAGGGCCTGCGTGTACTTATAGAGGGACATTTAGGGAATATTTTGCTGAGGAACTTCCGTCAACGACGGCAATCTCTGCGAAGAAAAAAGGCCGAAGTGCGACTAGGCAAAATGTCTTTTTTTGCCCCTGTATGTATAACAGTACAAAAATGGGAACAGATGGATGTGTTTTCACGCCTTGTTGTTTTCACCGTTAGTTCTGTCCTGCTACCTTCATAGTACGTCGCGAATTCCTCGGTCTTCCAGTCTTATATTATCTTATACTATTGAATGATTGCAAGTATCTTTGACAGTACGTTATTAAACAAATGGGGAAGCCCTGGCATGTTGTCGCTGTTGGATTCGGGCCACTAACGACCAGCATTCACATTAGCGACAGCGATTGGCTCCAGTTTCGGGCTATTCTCGGCCCTCATCCTTAGCCACCCCCGCCCACCTGAGCATTTGAAACGGTAAGGATAGGGCCTAAATGGCAGCTCCGCGAAGCCTCTGCAAATGACATGGGGTACTTAGCTTGATTAACATAGCGCAGGTATAGGCAAGAAAAGTACAGTTAACAGATCCATCTGACCATGAGCTGAGCTGAACTGATTGTCAGATCCTACTCCTGAACACCCTCCCCCTTTTTCGTTAGGCTGTTGAGAAAAAAAATTCGCCAGCTTCTCTCTTCTTGTAACCTCGGCATTTTAGCTGTAAGTGTATTTCGATGTTTTTGTGCCGTACGAGGTTGTTCGGTGGAACGTTCATTCGAATGGCCTAACGTTTCGTTTTAATTGTCGTCGCAATATTCCGACGGTTCCAGCGTTCGAGCGGGTTAGTTCGCCACCACACAAGAGCGCTCGAACGGTGGAACCGTCGGCCTCTGAAGACGATGAAAAGTTAGGCCATTAGCATAAATGTTCCACCAAACAACCTCGTAAGACCCAAAAACATCCAAGTATACTGGTGAGTTAAGTTGGCTTTGAGGGTCCATTGGAACGGAATAGGTCATCAAATTTTAAAAAAGGAACACTTTAATGGACGTTAGAAACAAACTTGTCCTTCACTTCTATGCATTCCTTGCCATCGACAGCGAGCAAACTGCCCTGAAAATATGTAGTAAAAATTTTCGTGACCTTGGAATTAAAATGTCCTACCTGATCTAATACTAACAGTTAACTTTATCACCCTTTTTGACCCTATAAAATCCGTTCTTCCAAGTTTATATCCGAGTAACTTACAAACCCTACCACTACTAACAAACCCTAAAACAATAGATGAATTAGTCGATGTATAGACATACCAGATTGGTCCCCCGTCAACCGCCGGGACCTTCCTTTCCTGCGCAAGCTTTCTATCCTCCGCTATGGTCCCTTCCCACCTGTGACACCAACACCTCGTGGAAGTGACGCGTATGCAACACAATGGTGTTTCATACAGTAGAAGGGATCGCCACAATCATGATATGACGGTATTTTCCGCCTTCCCTCCCCATCCTCCCTTCCTCTCTCCACTGCCCTCCAGCTGCCACTGCAGCACCATGTGGAATGAACGGAAGTGTGCTAAGCAGGTGTTTATATAGCCGTAGGAGTGTTATCACAATTATCCTATTACAACATTTATAGCTGAAGGGGCGGAAGTGGTGTAGTGGCAAGTGGCACGCTTACCACGCGAGCGGTCCGGGGATCAAATCCTGGGTCGTGAGTCGCCCGGGCCAACCAAGCCTTCCATCCCTCCGGGGTCGGTTAATTGGTACCAGACTTGTCTGGGAGGATAAAAACACTGACTTGTACATCGGCTGGCCCCGCAAGTCATTGTATAGGCCATCGCATTCAAACGCCACTACGAATT